TACAAGAGGATGGATGTAATAGTTTCATAATTAACTTACCGATACCCTCGACACCAAACAACACAAAAGCAACAACCTAGAAAAGATTTTGTACTCGATCTTTTAAGGAAGAACTCGCACGGATATTCTTGGCTGTTTTCGCTATATAAAGAAGATGTGTCCTAATATCATGACTTTAATTTGCCCACTATTCCAAGAATTCCAAGTATTCCAAGATGCCGATTGACCCGAAAATGAAAAATCCAAAAAAATTGCCGATTTTTCGTCATATGATGAGACATCAGCGAGGGTGGGGCTATCCGGATATTCTTACAATTAGAGGCTCGGTGAGCATTAAAAAAATTTTTTTTTTGCTTAATTAAATGCTTGATGATAATTTATCTGTTGCTGTGCTACCTATTTTATTTTAGGTGTTGCTAAGTGTCATTCCTATAATTGTTTGTACAGCTTTGTGGTCATCTTTTTTATGCTATCTTAATCTTGAGCTGGATTACGATTTGCTTCTGCCAATCGACTTGGGTTTGCTTTTTATTTGATATAATTCTTAATTCTGTTGTTTATGCAATTTCAAATAATGATTGTTTATAAATATGTCTTTATAGTGGGATCCGTCGCGGTTGTAGTTGGTCTCTTGTTAGCTTTTCGAACGAACAATGCTTATGATCGATATTATGAAGGTCGCAAGCTTTTTACAAACATGTGGTTAGTAAAATTTGTTAATTTATATATCTGATATTGAATCGTTCTTGCAATCTAATCTAATCTAATCTAATCATGGGCTCAACTTAGCACTCAAGTTAGAAATTGTGCACGCACATTATGGGTCGGCGTAGTAGAGCAATCTGATCAAGATCATCGTGATAAAGAACAAACTATTAAACTGTTATTGGCGTATGTGGTGGCAGTCAAACATCATTTGCGTCTGGAATTTGGAACTCGTTGGAATGACTTATCAGATCTTTTACCGCCCGGTTTTCAACTCTCATATTTCGATGGGAATGCTACGCAACAAGGTGTCGATGTAGGTTCTGGTGGGCCCGAAGATCCAAACTTACCAGAAAATGCAAATTCCGCGGGAAGCAATCAAACTGAGCATACTATATCAAACACTGTTCATGGCTTAACTGGGATCATCCCAGAAACCATCCAATTATTACGTGAAGCATCGGCCAACGGAGGATCCACCACAGTTTACTTAGACGATGAAGAGTTCGACGGAGAAGTTGATGCAAGCATGAGTTTACCCTTGGAAATTGTGATGCATCTTGGTTTGTACTTTGACGAAAAATTCCGTGAAGGGAAAATTGATGGTGGACGATTTGGAACTGTATCGGCTTTTTTGAATTCTTTGATTGAAACTCTTGGTAACTTGGAACGTATTAGTACTACTCCAATGCCACATGCTTATAATGTTCATTTGTATGTATCTTTAGGGATTATTATGGATTATTATTATTATTTATCATATCTCAATCAACTTTTTTCATGATACATCTTTATTTAGGAAACAAGCTGTTACCATTTATGTTTGGGCTCTTCCACTTGCACTCGTAGATAAACTTTTATGGTATACCGTGCCGGCTACCGCGGTTGTTGCTTTTGTGTTGTTTGGTGTCGAGGGTATCGGTAAGTTAATTATGAAACTATTACATCCATCCTCTTGTA